CGTAACTATCCGAAATAAAGCTCATGCCAATGGCCTAAGTGGTCACCTTTAATATTAAAAAAAAAAAAAAAAAAAAATAATTAGTCAGTTATAGCGAATCTTGACTAAAACCTTTTTCAATTTTGTAGTTATATTTTTTTCTAATTCAAAATCGAAACTTCTGAAATTCGAAATCTTCACTGAAATCTGAAAATCTAAATCATATTTGGAATAATAGTACTAGCCAATACAATTTACCAAAAGAGCAATGAAAAGCATTAGCTAATGCACTTTGCAAGAACACTGTGTTGACTTTTCTGGCTAGATCTTGGTTGAAATAACTTGGATCAGAAAGACAAAAAACATTAGTTGTTACACTTGCAAGAACACCACCACGTTGACTTTTCTAAATCTTAGTTGGAATAAAACTTGGATTAGAGAGATGAAAAGAATTAGCCAATGTACTTCGCAAGAACACCATATTGGTTACTTTAAATTAGAAGAATGCTTTTGTGATCAAATTTATAGATTTATAGATTTAATTATAATTAAATAATATTTAGCTTAGATTTCATGTTAATAAAAAATTGTAATTGAATATAATTAAATTAATAAAGTTTATTAAATAATTTATTAAATTATAATCTATAAATTATCGATTATAAGTATAAATAATAGTCTATTTAACTTTGAACTATCATCTAAAACTATAAGTTACTCTCGTTATAGTGAACTCTCGATATAAGTATAGAGAAGAATAGTTTATATAAAAACCCTCTCGATATAGTGAATTTAATCAAAATTTACTAATAGACTTTCAATATAATAAAGAAAATTTCACAGCCCGATCACTTCACTATAACGAAAGTATATTTTTTGAATTCAAGCCTCAAAAAAAAAGGCATAAAAATTAGCAGGTACTGTTTAAGTAGTTTTTCAGTTTCAGAGAAGATCCTTGAAGATCTCGAATTGAATTTTAGAAGATCTTGAAACTCAGGAGTTTCGAGAACTACAAAATTATTAAGCCAAGATTCGTTATAACAAGAACTACAAAATAAAAAAGTCTTTAAGTTAAGATTTGTTAAACGAGAACTATAGAATTAAAAAAAGTTTTTGAGTTAAGATTTTTTATAAAGAAACTACAGAATTAAAAAGTCTTTAGTCAAGATTTGCTATAACAGAAACTACAAAATTAAAAAAGTTTTAAAGTCAAGATTTGCTATAATGAGAACTAAGAATTAAAAAAGGTCTTTAGGTCACGATTCGCTACAACAAAATTACAGAATTAAAAAAGTCTTAAGATTCGCTGCAGGATCTACAGAATTAAAAAAGCTTTTGAGACAAAATTTACTATAACAAACTAATTATTCCAATCGGCCAATCTATTATAATGAGTGTAAAAATTATAAATAGTGGTCTATTTAAACTTTTCAAACTACAGAATTGCCTTGAATTACAATTATTAATCCACATTTAAAAAAAAATAAAAACTCAACAAAAAAATGAATTCCTTAGGCCTTGAAAAAGAAAATCAACCCGATTTTGATAGAGAGTCAGTGAACGTGGATGATGGTGCTTTCACATTTGATTGGCATTCATGTAAGAGAAATAATTAAATTTGCTGAAGAAATAGATGATGAATTAATTGAGAATAACAAATTGCTCGAAAATGACGAATTGCTTGAGAGTGACGATAATAAGACAGAGATATTTGAGGAAATTGACATGCCACTTCTTTCTTTTGTAGAACATGCTACAAAATTTACAAAATGTGTTGTTATTGATAATGAAATTAGCAATGAATAACCATAATTCAAAGATGCAATAATATTGGGTTCGAAGTATAAATCAACTGTCGGGGATGTGGGAAGTCGACTCTCAAGCTGTAGAAGAAGAAGCTAAGAACGAGGTCTCAAAACTAGATATTTGTATACGACATTACAACTATGATCTAAAAATTTTACATCCAGGCATAAGGGATGACCTAACAACAGAAAAGAGTGTCATTACATCATGTCGCTGTCTTTTCTGTAATAAAATAAAATATTTCTTTACAAGAGGCACAACATGTGAATTATATACTCGAATAATTTGTGGGTGCATTGTCCAAGTTCCATGCCGTGGATTATATAACTGCCCGGCAATTACTGCATATAAAGATCTATCAACTGAACCATTAGCTAATGATAGATCTCGATTTATTTGCACGAACTGTTTCGTTATACATGAAGGCCATTTGCATGTTTGACCGGGAATTAGAAAAAAAACAATCACATGCCTAGACCGAGGAGAGCATAACGCAGATATTATACTTGCCTTGAAGTTGTTTAACAAATGGATTGAGCAGGTTGCTGAATCAAATAATAATTCTTTAAAGGTTAAGCTATTAAAAGAGCTTTTCAAATTACTTGGCAGTATTACTTCTAGTACTCTTGAGAATCCCATTGTTATGCCTTCTACCATTTTTTCAGAGTCTATAAGTCCTAGCCTTTTTTTAATTAAAACAGCATTTGCTATTAAAAAAATTGATATTAGTAAAAAAAAGCAAGCAACACAATTAAAACCTACTACATGTAACGATTTTGGGAAAATACTTGCTCATTCTATATTACAAGAACGATCCAAACTCAAACAGAGATTACCTTTACTTGAAGAGCCCGAATCTCTGGACGAATATTACAATGCTATGCCATCATCTTTTGTGAACTTTTTTTTTGGCCTTATTTCAACTCTAATGGAGAATAAAAATAAGATATTAGCTAGAAAACAAAGAGAACAAGGCTTGCTGCCACCACAATTGGATGAAAATAAAATCAAATTACATTCTCTTTTCTTCTCTTCGGTACTACTTACCATTGCCTTCCCTAATTGGAAAATATGGTTTACTCATGTGCTTTCTTCTCTTTGCTGAAAACCATGAATGATAGGATTTTTGCACAAAATTCTTCATGCTATTCGGGTTATAGCATATGTTAGAATCCACGAAGCAAGTATTCAAAAAAAATGAATATCAAATACAAACCCTCGTTTAAGGCTCCTTGACATAGATACAATTCTGAATATTTTAAATCTTGCAGTTATCGATAATATCGATATGAAAGACAAGACTTTTCAGTATAGAAATATTTATGAAGTGGTTTGCACTACTGTACATGCAACACTACGAATAGTTTTTTAATTTAAGCGCCCGGAGCTTCTTAACTTAGAACCATTTGAAATTCAGAATCTTTTTGGTATAAGCCCTATTATGGAAGCGTGGAATATAAAAATAGATGAGATTTTTAGTCAACTAGTTAATCAAGAACAACAATTTAATATTGAAAATATTAATGCAGCTCTTAAAGAAAATATTAAATCAGTATCATTTTTGGCACCCCCGAATGTTGTAATTCTTAAGGCTGGAGAGGCTCCAAGCAAAAACGAGAATGTCCATCAAGCTGTAGACATGTATGTCGAAGATTTTGGTTATACAGAGAATGGTGTGCTAAATTTGGTGTGTGATGAAGCGATATATTATCACATGAGAAATTACAAGAATGAAGAACAAAAAGTGTGTTGTATTCTGGGACAATGGCATACAAACAAAACAATGTGCAGTGCATTAATTGTAGCCTTTTCAGAGTATGGGCTTTTGGGCTTGCTGCCCCAACTTGGCATCAAATTTCTCGATAAACTTGAGCAAAACGTTGATTATCAATCGACATTCCGGATGCTAGAGCTTATTTGGACAGCCGTTAGAGTTGTACTTTATATTTATGCGCAAGAAAATAATATTTCTATTGAAGAAATTTCTACAAAAGACAATAATTTATTAAAAGTTTGGTATAACTTTTACCAATTGGCAGGATACTTAAAATTGCACAAGCTTGGAATTCGCATGGCAAATTTCGATTTGCAAGCGTATAGCTTGATGGCATTTGCTCCTTTATTCTTAATAACAAAAAGATTAAGGTATACTGAGTCCGTGGCATGATTTTTGGTAGAGCTTCAATAGAACCCACAACTTCTTCAAGACCTTCGGACAGTGTCTTCAATAAATCTAACTCAGGAAGGAAATAATCTCGGCTATGATGAGGCTTTAAAAACATTTGATGTGAAATTTATAAAGGAAAATATGATTGGGCATAAAACTAATTTAGAAAATTTAAAACAAAATATCAAATCAGCACAAACAGAAAATGAATGACTTAACTTCCTAATTTCAGAGATCACCGAAGATTGGTCATTGAGTAAAAACCCATGAGCTGTTAAAGATCGTTAAGAAGCTCTTTGAAAATTGATTAATGAGCTTAAAATAGCATTAAACAACTCACAGCCAGAATTAAATACTTTGTTTGCGGAAACAACGCAATTGACAACTGCTAGTTACCATCGAATGTTTCACTATTACTAATCAGGAATAAATAAAATGAACAAAGTTGCTACAAAAATTATTAATAATATAGCTGTCAAAGTAAAAGTAAAACGTGATAAACTGGACCTAATATCAATGAAAATAGCAAAAAAAAATAAAGGTGAAATAAATGCTAACCAAACAGAAACAATAAATCTAGAAACAATAAATCTAGAAGCAATAAGCAGCAGTTCCATGTATACTCCAGAATTATATGACATGGAAGTCGATGAAATAAACCAAGACTTACAATTTGAGTCTAATCTGTTTTCTGAAACTAATCTATCTTCAAGATCCAAGCCTCGAAAGCAATATATAGTACACAAACCTACACCTGAAAAAGAAAACATCTTGAGCCAACTTGAAAAATATAAAGGCTCTACTGTGTTGCCTGAAGACTTTGTCGATAAGCTAGTAGAAGAGCTATTGCCATATAATTATTAGACAACAAAACGAATTAAGAATTGGTGGTATAACCAATATAAAAGATCAAAAAATAGTACTAGTACTAAAGAAACTGAAGAACTATAAATTGTATAACTGTTAATTAAAAAAAAAATTAATAACAATTACTTCGAACATATTAATAAACTTGCAATATTATTTTTACTAAAAGAAAAAATAAAAAAACCTTAGCAAAAATTGCAATCTATATATAGTGAAATGGTTTTCCTTAATTTTCTCCACATTTTCATAAGTTACTCTTCTTTTGAAGATGCATTTCACAGAAAGTTCTCACTCGTGCGTATCTAATAAACTATTTTTTACATTAAGATCTTGCAAACTCGAAAAGAATCATGTGGAAGAAGACAAAATCATTGTCTACCTTTGAAGGGGGTGCCTATTGCGCAGTGAGGTTAATTTTTTACGATCTCTATACCGTCTGATTCGTTAAAACCTTGGCAACTTTTTTGTATTAAGAAAGTCATATATTATAACTAAGACTTTAAGTGCAAGTTCTAAAAACGTGATCTTATCAATTTGTATAATTTATGAAGATTATATGATAAAAATTTATATGTAACATCTTGATCGACTATTACTGATACTTGATATACTGTAGCTTTGTAAATTGAAGATACTTTAGAACCCATGATTTGTATAATATCTGTGAAGTTTAGCTTTTTTCGTATAATTCTTGTAGTTTCTCTTTGATCTGATCATTTGTTTCTGTAAAGAGATTGTCTAGTATAAGAGTATTTCTTATATCTAATTGTGGTTTTAAAATGTGTTGTTTCGACTGAGATATATTGTTTAGATCCTCTATTCTTGCTCTTATCTTTTTTGAACTATCAACATTTATATGGTATAATTTTGATCTTTTTTTCAAAAATATGCACCATTTTTTGTCTTTTTTAGTTTTAATTATATATTCTTCACATGGTGTTAATTGATCATTTTCATGTTCAGTTATGTAGTGTCTTAGATTGATAAGGTTTGTATTATATTTATGTGTTGTAATCTTCCTATATAGTTTGTTATTTGTAATTACCCAACTCATATGATCTGATATTTTTTGCAATGTAAATAGGTTTATATTGTTATTATTTGGATTTACACAGTCGTCCTTAGTCAAGCTTTGCAGGATTTGTTTGTACCAGCTAGGTTCATATCCTTTGAATATTGCTGTAACATGATGATGGAATTCTTTCTATTTTAAATTGTCATTTAAACAGTAATTAAGGAATTGTTCTATGAATCCTATACCAAGCTTGTTAAGTCTTTTCTTAACTAAAGGTGTATTATTTAGTTTCTCTAGTATTGTGTTAATACTTTTTCCTGCTGTTATTAGAGGTTTTGGCCAGAAATTTAATGGTCTTTGGAACTGAACTTGTGCTATATATAGTTGATTGATTGCGAAGGTTGTTAATTTATTTTGTTCATTTATAGGTAGGACTGGTTGTTGTTCTAACACTGAGATATTAGTATATACTGCATTCTGTATCTGCTGAAGTTTTATTTTTATTATACTCATATTAAAGCTATTGTTATTAATTGAGTTTAAAAGATTAGTGATCAAAAACTGTCACTGAATTTGTTCTATAGAGTCTAATACATACAGTTCCGGATAGAAAAAGTTTGTGTTGGGAATATTCTAAGAGAAACAGGCTTGTTATACAATCTGGATAAATTTATTAGTGATATGATTATATTGCTTTGTGTTTAGGAAAAGGCTGTGGAACTGATATCTTATGCATGATATTATAACTGCATTGATTATATAAATAGCTTGTTTTTCTGTGATTTTTGCAATTTCACATTTCTTTAGTGCATTGAAGATATT